AAAATAGGGGCGAGACACTTTTGGGGTAGGGGCGTGTTTGTTTTGGTGATTTCAAATGTCAACACTGGCTACCAGAAATTGCTTACCCCACCTTTAACGGAGCGCTTGCTTGGGCGGTTAGAGCGACTGAGTGGAGCGAACAGAGCGGAAAACGTCACACCGCTCCGCTTCGCTCACATGCTCTGCTTCGGAGCGAGTTCACTCATTTGATTCAGATCGGGACTTCGGAGCGGGTTCGCGAGTCATTTGATTCAGGCCGGGACTTCGGAGCGAGTTTGCGAGTCATTTGATTCAGATCGGGACTTCAGAGCGAGTTCGCGAGTCATTTGATTCAGATCGGGACTTCGGAGCGAGTTCGCGAGTCATTTGATTCAGATCGGAACTTTGGAGCGCAAATCTTTTGATTTAGATCGGGAATCGCAAATCATTCGATTAGATCGGAAATTTGGAGCAGGTTCGCGATTCTTTTGATTCTAATCGGGACTTGCTGCGCATATCGCGAATCAATTTGATTCAGACCGGGATAATAAAAACAAAACGAAGAAAAGAATGAAAGAAAGAAAGAATACACAAATACAGATGTGTTGCCAGGTTTACAAAAAAGTAATACATTTACACCTTAAGAGGACACATAGGATGAATGTAGAGACAGTTTTCACTGCTTTAGGATGAACATAACTTTAGATAGTTTCCATACTCATCTAGATCAACTCTGAAAAGAGAGATTTAGAGCCAGTAAATTTTTATGTACGTGAAATTTAGCTAGAAGGCAACACACATTAATTATATTTTCCCACATTCTCTTTTGAGTAGTCAAAGAATCGAGTGGAAAAGAAAAGAAAAGGAAACGGAGATGTTCGAATCTCCGAATCAGTTGAATCTGTTGCGTGGCAAAATGATTCAATGTTTCAAAGCGCTGGAAACGCCACGTGCTGGCGACACCTGCTGGTCAAAGCTGTGCAAATGCAACAAAAACTAAGTTCAAACATCATCTTTTACAAACCAAAAATTCTTGTAACAAATCACCAAACACCATTAAATACAAAATGCATGCATAATATGTGTTCGTTTATTAATTTGTAGCATGCTTTGTGTGTTGTTATGAAAGCTTGGCTAAACAGGCCAAGTGACAATTAACTGCTCTTCCATTTTTCTTGTAAAGTATTGAATCGAGATCTGAGGTCCTGTGGTTTTAGGAGCATGAGTGATCATATAATGTGGTCAAATAAGGCATAAATCAACTGAACTGCTGCATTTGTGTTCAGAACATTCAGATTCAAATCAAAGTGTAACGTTGGTGTTTACATTTGGTTCCACAGGTCAAGCTGTGTTTAGTCTCGTGTCTCATGAATCACGGCTGTATGAAGTGACACGTACGAGGTGATTGTCGTCCTGGAAAGTGTAATGTAGTTCAGTGATCCAGCGCCGGTCTCCTTTCAGCAGAACCTCCTGCTCCTCCTGATAACACGCCGTCTGAACGCACACAGCACTCATTATGGCTCTTAATAATTCTGATTAAGTGCTTTTAGAGAAGATGCACGCTAGTTTTTGTTGTTTACCTCTCCACGCTTCAGTATGTTCCACTTGTTCATGATCTTCAGCGCGTAAACCTGCTGTGTGTTATGCATGCGGGCCAGAGCCACCTGTGCATTTACACCTCAGTCAATATATTTATACTCATCTGCTTCATAACAGAACCAGCACAAACCCACTCACCTCGCTGAAGGTTCCTCGGCCGATCACCTTCAAGATGTCAAAGTCATCTCTGCTTATCCGGGTCTTCTTCACCTGTCTGACCAGAGGCTCCGCTGCGAATATCAGAGGAGAGAGAACGTCACACAACTATAACCATAACGATAAATATATAACTATAACTATATCTATCACTGATATCACACATACATCACGGAGAGTCTATTTGACGTCGCATTTACATCTGCAAGACGTATTTATTAGAGTGTTTGCTCATCTGCAATACGTCTAGATGTCAAACAGACGTTTAGAAGATGTCTTTAAGATTTAGAATGCATGTAAAACTGACATCTTACAGACGTCTGTCAGATGTTTGTACACAGCAGATGCTTTCCAGATCTTTAACAGACGTGCCTGTGCTATCTGGGTTATCGTTCTTGGTGTGAATGGACCTTAATGCAGCTCTGGCATTTATATTTTTGGACTTTTTAAAATGCATTTTCATTTATTTTATGATGTATATTTTATGTTTGGGTTGTTTTTGTTTGAGAAGGTTCTTTAAGGCACTAAGAGCGTGCTGTGCAGAAATAGAACAGATGAATCTAAGAATAGCGCACTCATGTTTGAGACTTTTTTAAGGCAAGTTTTTCCAGCCTTGGATTCGAGACGCTCTCGTGGCTGCAGGAATGCGAGTGAGACTGAGGCAACAGCAAGAGAAATTTTCAGCACAAAGGCATGTGACCAGGGGGGTAAAGGGTGACAAAGTGCACAGGGCCCAGAGGTCTGAGGGGCCCGCGAAACATTGTTAGACCTACAGAATCCACCAAATGTCCCGGCTGTTCGAACACAGCTGACTGAACAGTTTCAAACTGAACATTATTGAATATGAATATTTAGTTGGATATTCATTTAACATTTTTCAGACGTTACTTTTTGTTTTAGAACTTTAAGACAACATTCAAAACTAACGTATAAAATGGAATGTTCCCTGAACGTTCACATAACAAGGAAAAAACGTTATTTAAAAAATGGACGTTTAAACATTCAGAGAGCAAAACATTCTCGGAACACTTTTATTAGATGGGAAGAAGTATTTGCCTTGACAAATTTATAGGCTCCAATTCATAATGTGTAAATACAGTATGCCTCATGTCGTTCCAAACCTGCACGAGTTTCTTTCTTCTGTTGAACATAAAAGGCTATTTTGAAGAATGTGTTTAACCAAACATTCAACGGTAGCCATTGACTTCCATTGTGTTTTTTCCCCTACTATGGAAGTCAATGGCTACCAGCAACTGTTTGGTAAATACTAGCATTCTTTAAAATACTTTCAGATCATCCGCTGAAATACAGGTTTGGAACAACATGAGGGAGAGTAAATGAAGACAGAACGATCATTTTTGGATGAACTAACTACATAATGCATAACACAACACTGACCTGCATCATTTGCATTATCTGTGCCGTCTGATTGTTCTGTGTGTTTAAATTCGTTTTAATTTTCATAGATGTGATTAGAGTGCAGTATTTTAATAATCCTCTGTTGAACGTATATTTCTGTTCTCACTAGCAGGATGTGTGTGTGAGACAAATAAACTTCAAACCTGAAGCTCTATGAGTTTTCACATGTGACATCACTTCCTCTGTCAAGCCCTGTTTTACGGACGATATGGAAAGTTCAGGTATGGATCTCGTCACTTCCTTCCTGCTGTTCGCTGTTTCCCTCGCATGAATCAACAGAGAATCGGCTGCCAGCAGCTTAAATGGAAATCTGTGTCCAACAGAGACTCTCCAACAGCCTGTGTGTCCCTCTGTAGGACTGTCTGTCTCTCTCTTGGCCATGTAGGGTGTGACCAGAAGAGTGTGTGTGTGTGTGTGTGAGAGAGAGAGATAGATAGATAGACAGAGAGAGAGAGAGAGAGTGTGTGTGTGTGTGTGAGAGAGAGAGAGAGAGAGAGAGAGAGAGAG